CCAACTGACTGTGGTTCAAGCATACAATACAACATTGTCGTCACATGATTTTCTCAATATTTTTTTTTTATTCCAGGTATACCAGCGGTCTTGATTGAAAAAGACTAACAATGCTCCTAGACTGGGAATAAATGAAAAATACGTCCAACAACATTACAGGATGTAATGACACCATCAACGCTACTTTTCAATTGATATACCAGATTCGTAATGGATACTAACAAGAAAAATAAAGAAACTCACCGTGTTTCTGGATTGTAGCCAAGGATATAGAAAAACGTATCAGGATCGGCATCAAAATCTTTGACATCGGTGATATCTTTAAAATGGAAAACACGACACCTACCCCTGTAAACAATAATAAGCAAAAGGGGAATAAAAACATTTAGTTACAGGAGCTAGAAACGCTGAATTAGAAAGTGAAAACACAGAGACAAGACCAGATCTTTAAAGTGTATTATTACTATTGGCAGACTATATACATTAATCCACTAGGCAGTAATATGATTCCAATTACTTAAATTCATTTTATAAAAATTTACTGGGTCCAGACAGACAACAACACTCACTGCATGAACAAACAAACAAAGACAACTGACTCTCTGATTTTGATTTCAATAATGTTTCATTTAACAGTTTTCGTGTCCTGCTAGTAAAATGATCGATGTCGGAAGTGCCACATGTTCGTACATGATATTACAGATTACCGTACTTATCAGTATTGAGAGGAAGGGGATTTATTATTATCAAATGATGTATTTCATTGAAATGCACAGATGTAGAGTAGGTATTGGAATGTCAAACACCAATAATATATCTTCTTTTGTCTAGAGTTAGTTAGAGCTTGTGTTAACACGTCATCATACTCACGTCAGTCACAACACCATACCAATTGTTTAACCTTTTGAAAACAGAAGTCATTTTTTTGTCACCTTTTACAAAATATTATTTTTTCCTTATTTTTCAAACATATTTTTTTTTACCAAACCTAGTAAGCAATGGGAAATTATGCACGAGACCGAGATTAAATAAAAAATTATAAATACAATGTTATGTGCAAAATATTAACCAGAGTACCACAGACTATGATTAATGCAAATAGTTAAATTTTTGTTCATTCATTGAAATTGACATTATAAAGTGTTATCAGGGAAGTGAAATAGACTGTTAAGGAGTGATGGTCGTCGCTCTGTGTCCTGTTCGATATGAGACCCATAGCAACGTAAACAATGCATGTAAAATACACAGTTTTTTTTTATATAATAGGAAATTTGAAGACGACAACCGACCTTCAGTATTCAAGCTATCCTTTACTTCTATTTGTGTAAGTAAAAAGTTTGATATGAGAAATTGAATACCCTGAAGCAGCTGATACATTTCTATGTCTGGATTGCGTAAATATTTATGAAATACTGTCATCTAACATAATCTTGAATTGATATGATGCATGGCATGCTGGGAAGTTATGTGCTAGGGGCACACCATTTAATAATTGGGGGTGGGGATGTTAGTAAAGACGCATTTATAGATCTTTTACGTGCTACTGTATCAAATAGAAACAGGCCACTCCAATACTAACCTCTTAAAACGATTTTTATTCTACTACAAATGTGTCCAACTGAAATGTAACCCTATGTTTACGGACACACAATGCTGAGTTGGGGGATTATAAGGTTAATTAACATGAATTTATTTTGAGTTGACACAATTTGAGTTTAATTCCCCTTCACAGCTATCACCGGATATCACACTCAGGGAGAACCATGACAACTTGAAGGGGGGGCTATATATAGTCAGCTTAAAATGACATAGTGAGGGATATGACGTCAGTATCGAATAATATAATGAAACCACTCCATGGTTGTATCCTTGAAGAGAGTATTCCACAAAGCCATAATAAAACAGCGCACAGGAAATGTCCGCTCATTCTGTCACACTTCTGTTAACACACTCTTATTCACTACAGCCTACAAGCCAGTATAATACTGACAAGTGTTGATAACATTCACAACATTGAATACAGTCACAGATAACCGTTTTCTATTGTATTCATCAGTTTTCATTAATTATAGTTATCGGATTAAGTATTGTATGTGGTGTTACTTCATTCCCCATGACTTGCTATATGTCTGTTTGACATAATATTGAATAACACTTTACATAATGACAATTTTATTTTAATTTCCCTAACCACTAAACATTATCATTTTTATTAATTAATTACTATTTCTTAATCATTATTAAAACGATTATAACAGTCATGTATGTACTGTATGCATCTAATCTTGGCTGTTGTCTTTTATTCAACCATTTATTTCACCACCAGACTTTCTTGCTGGAATTTTTCTGCACTTTGTTCTTATATTCTTCAACATTTCTGGAAATGAACCCAAATTTTGGTGCCAACAGACAAAATTTGAGTCAATTTTCAGCTATTTTTTGTCCCAATCTTCAGAAGAAAATTGCAGACTATAAACAGGACTATTTTTGAATTAGTGATGAAAAGAAGGAACTGGTGGTCAAAAAGTTAAAAGTCTTTTACTTCTTAGCTACAGTGTTGGCATAATGTTGTATTTCTTCAGAAACAAACAAACAAACAAACAAACAAACAAACCAATAAAAATTCATAACAAGAATTTAAGCAGAATACTATGTTTAGTCTAAAATAACTGTATGAGCTAAAGGTAGCCTAAATGTTGGTAACACTCAGCAATTGGTTGTACTTCAGACTCAACAAAACAAATATTTTTGGCTCTGTACAAAGACTCGTTTTTAAGAGAGTTAACAAGCTAGTCCCTATCATGAGTGCTATAACTGGATATGCATGTAAACTGGTGTGCAGGCAAACCAGGGTCATTTAAAAATATATTATTAATTCTAAATCGTATATGTATTGTTTTTAAATCCTGATTGACTTATTGACTTAAATCTTCTGAGAGCAGAAGTCAGCTCACGGTGTTCATAATTCTCAACATGTCAGAACGAGATTTACATAAACTCCTGGTGATTATAAAATGAATTTAATCTCTGTTTTTTTTTTAAATGTTGTTTTACTCACTAAACAAATATGGCGAAAGTATGTATTTTTGCAAGCTTTTATTTCGACTACCGGTATTTACTAATACAGTGTTTTGCTATATTTTTTTAGTTATCCAAAGAAACTAGGATTTTCTTAGGCTCCTCCGCACATAACATAAATTATTTTTTTTATCTCATCTTCATATTATAATATGCTTCACACATTTTATTTCTTAGCATTTTTGTTAACATTATCATCACTGCTCTAACCATATCTAACCTGTAACCTATCCTGCCAGGACTTGCTTAAAATTGTGAGGACGTCGACTGCCTCCAAAATTGTACACCTTACGTCTACTTTTGTGTAGTATGTAAGACAAAGAGGTTATTCTAATTTTCTGTTCTGAACAGATTCAACAAAATTTCCCACTAAAATTTTGGCAAGAAAAATTGAAATTTTCTTTACTCGAAAATGTTATGTTTTTTTCTGAAGTGGTGAAAATTAATGAAAATTTTCTCTCTCACAATTTGAAACATTTTACAAAACAATTACACAATTGAGCTCATTCTCTGTTAAATATTTGACAAACAATTTTGCATATTAATGATCATTCAAATTTCAAAGCCAATTTTGGACCAAATACACAAAATTTTACACAAATTTTTAGAGATTCAATATTAAATAACATTTTTAAAAATGTTGGTCAATATTTTAGATGAAAACTAGAAAAATATACAAATCAATTCCATGAAAGGCAACAACATTCACAAGCAAATTTTCTCTCTTCCTAACACAGCATTTTTGTCATCTGTTCCAATACTATTTTAGTACAACAACCCAAACCTTTCCTCCTAGCAGCAAGGTCACTCCATTTATGGGGGAGGGGGCACCAATAAAATCACAGATCACAAAACACAAACATTGGTTAGTGTTTAAAATGTGAGAACTGCGTGGTATATAAACAGTCAATTGAACCAACAACAAAGGACAGGACACAGATTGATTGTTGCCCAATAAGAGACTAGTGTTGTGTTGGTGATTCAGGGACACCCCTATTAATACCACATTAGGTGGCCCCAAAACACAAAAGACAGCATGGGGATGGAGCTACAGGCATTGAATGAAAAAAAACGCATTCTTTATTCTTTCGTCTAAATAACTGTGACATAAACAAATATGTAAATCAGCTGTCTGCAGACAGTCAGAGAGTCAAATACTTCCAATAATGAGTCTTATTGGTGGTACAGACATTGGTATTTAAAAAAAAGTGTATGTTTTGTTTTTTTACCTGAGAGCTGAGATCGGATACGAGTCACTGGCGTCAGATATGAACAGTTCTCTGCCTTTTACTGAGGAATCCTTTAACAGTTGGTCCACCCCTGAGTCTGCAAAACAATCGGCAGCGGATGTAGAAGGTTGAAGAGACATCCAAGACAAGGTTTTATACAAAGAAACACAACAGATATAGACACAATGAAATCCAGAAAGCAGCGGCCATTACAGAAATAACACGACCTTTAACCCTAGCGGGATAAATCAAGCTGTCAAAGCAAGAGGGCAGTATAACAGGCACCTGCTGTTTAGCGTTACGACTTCCTGTAGTAAGTAACGACATAATAGAGGAAAACCGTTAATTTGTGAACAGATTGATTTTTTTTTTGATTTTTTTATAAAAAAATACTATAAAGTTAGAATCTAAATTAGCATAGAAATTGTTGATGAAAAAATACAATATTGCAGTAAATTGTTCTCAGTATGATTATTGATGTAACCACACAAAACTTGATTCACATTGATAATTCTAAAAGCATTTGCTGAGATATTTATTATTATGTAACATTATTAATTCTTAATTATGAGCATTTGAAGACAGAATATAAATTATTAATATTTGTGTATCATCATGATATTTAAATATGCAGAATTGATGCTCGGAAATGTTTATTTTAAGGACATAAAATAAACCAACCATTCACACAATGTAACAGCCCTTTGTGTGTAATTCCCCCCCTTTTTTTACTCAAATTGAAAAAAACGACTTGATCTATCGATTTTGTTGATTTTCGTCCGAATTTTATGTTTGGTGGAACAGGGGGAATACAAATACATTTAGTCATGTCAATGATTTGAAATTTAATCAAATCAGACATCCACTAAACATGTTGAAACATGGATGTCGAAAATCAATAATTGTTTTGTTGTTTTCACACTGAAATTGGGTTTTAACAGTAAATTTTTACCCAATGGCTGGGTCATACCATTTTCTGTGAATGGGGGTGTAAAGTTATTTATAAATTGATAAAAACTAGGCTTATGAGGCATTTTTGATTGCTGTAGAGTCTACATATAGATAAATCTCAAACGAACTCTAATGGTATTCACATGATAATATCATCTTTATATATATTTTTCGATCATAATTCTAAATATATAAAACTAAGTCAGGCAGTCTGACTTGATCAAAAATTATTTAACAATATGCAATTACATCAGGGCTTGTCTTCGGAAACAGCTCTTCTAAAATCACTTACTGTAAAATACTTTATTTTCCTATTTTTGCTGAAAGAATGATTCAGTGAAAATAAAATCCAGCGAATATACCTTTTTTCCTATATTTTACATTCAACTCGTCAAAAATCAGTGAAAGTAAATTCCATACAAAACACCAGAAAAGAATTCAACCTAAAATAAAGTATTTTACAATACTCATGGTATAGGAGTAATTTTAATGTTTTGAAAATTAATTATGTATGCGTAAAATTAAAAAAAAAAAATTAGACTTTTGTTCAAGCCCCAGAAAGGTCTGTTACATAAAATATAGTTAGCCACATGAATATCTTGGTCACAAAGTATGACAAATGTTACCGTCACAGAAGCTTTTGAATAAAATAGTGACAAAAAAAAAAAAAACTCACTGTTTTCAATATGCCTATCTTGGACTAACAATTGATAAACAGAGTCAGGCACTTCAGAAGGTCTGTAAAACCACTTAACAAGCACTTGCAATCGTTCCCTTTTGCTCTGGAAAATAAACGAAAAAAAAAAAAAAGATTTATACAAAGACAGTAATAGCTGAATGAACACTGTTATGAAAGCTATGTCTTAATCTGAAAGCAATGAACGGCAATCACGCACATATTGTAATTGGTTTTTCACACAAATTCCTTTTTTTCCCTCCCTTCCATGATAACAAAAATGTGATTTGGGGGATCAAAATGCAGGTAGGTTGCTTGTACAGGAGTAACAGGGGTAATGAAAGCAGTACAAACCCAATATTAAGTGAAAATCAGTCATTCTGTGTCATGCAAGTGATAACACCCTGCTACTATAAACCTGATAACACTTATACTATAGGAATGGCATTGGAAGTGATTTAATACCACACACAACATGTGACCCATACTACAGAAGGTCAAAGGGCAAACATGGTCAGGTAATTTTCTAGTCCAATCAAACAATCAGTCAAATAGCAATAACGTTAAAAGCACGTCTAAACATAAGTCTTCATCAATCGTCAATTTTTACTTGAATTCAAGACAAACCGAAAAAAGTGCTAGATATACATAATTCAACGACAGCTACAATGGTAATTTCCCTTGTGCAGGTTCCTTAACGTAACCATGGTAACGGGATTAGATAGGCAGATGTCGTTAATTTCATGATCTCCCGAAAGCGTTAAGTCAATTAACGTTTTCCTAAACAACTTAGCTTTCGTATTTGTTCTAATTTAATTTGCGACACTTGCCAATTAATCTCAGCATATATTGTCAATTACCAGCATAGGCTTCTTTTGCATTTTTTTTTTTGCGTAGGTGTTGATCCATTTTATACATTATTGTCAAACCACACAATTACAAGTGATGTGTTTTTAAACCACTCTACAAGACTATCATTCACGCAATAAGTCGACTGTTTTTTTTCTAATCAAATAAATTCCGGTTACCCTACCTAGCCATATTGGGGGAGGGGGGGGGGGGTATGCAAATAATGCCAAAATTATTTATTCCCGAACAAATTAGGTATGGTCAATCCATTTTTTATTTCATTTCATTTATTACTTTCTTCTCTGTAGTGAATATCTCACTCTTACGCACACTTATTTTCACTTAATTACAGTATAGTAGTATAAAGGACGAAAACAACTATCAATAACTTGAGCGTAAACCATTTGGAAAAATAAATTAAACAAAAACTCTGCCTACCTACTCAGTATCATATCCTGTTACCATGACAAAATTAGTTTTATTAGGCATATTTTCACCAAAATTTTGGTAAAGATGTTTACTGGATTTTAAATCCTACGTTTGTAGTTCAAAATTAAAAACAAAATTTACAGAAAACATGTTACTGCACAAAATGCAATATGGGAGATAATTTTCCATGGAAACACTATTATCACAATGAAAACTCACTAAATTTATATGTCATTTAAAAAAAAATGTTTTTGCCATATTAGGATTCAGGTAAATCATAATATACAACTTTTTCTTTGCAAAAATGCCAGTTTTGACCATTTTTTTTATGACAATTTAAACTTTTGAAAAATTGTCTGGTGACATGGCTTTTTGGCAGCCTACCTACGGTACTTGTCATTTCGAACAGGCACAAAATTTCATTTGACAGGCAAAATTTCTACAAACCTGTCCAATTTTGAATGAAAATTACGTGTAAATTACAAAATAAGCATAAATATTTAGTTACAAATTAAAATTACAAACTGCTATATTAAATTTGAATAAAGTTTTCAGATAGGCACATTCTATTTCCTTGCTACATGTGACCCTTATTTTTTTTTTTTATTTTTTTTTTTTTTTCGGTATCTTGATGGCATGAACCCATTATAATTAAAGTATGATGAAAAAGACATAATCTTCAATTTGGAAAATTTGTTGACATGACAACATACGGTAGAGTCAGAGATATTGTTTTATTCAAACTACATTATTTTATGATTTGCTTTAAAGCGGGAGGGTTGTCACCTGCACACACGCAGGAATTGAGTCCCAAGCGACGATAACAACACACACTAAAAACACAAAGGCTCATGGGTAGACGCTTGTTTGTAAACAAAGTTGTAGGTGACAACTCCCCTGTTTTAAGTTTTGCCTCGAGTGTGGTAAAGTTAAAACAGTTGTATGTATTCTGTTGCCATGGCAGCAATAATATCATCACATTTTAACTGATTTACTGATGCATCATAACCACTGCATGACTATATATATTTGGTTATATTTATTACGATTGTTGTTGCTCATTACCCAAAAGGAATCAACCATAAATATGATAACACTGTGTCAGATAATAGGCAAACATATGTTCGTAAAAGGAAAGAAAACATACCAAAAATTAGCTGGACTCTCAAAATCAATGTATCGTTAAGGTACATTAAATTTGAGGGTTTTACTTTTATTTGTAAGCACGATGCCATCTTTTGTAGCGGTAATTAAACATTACGACAAAAACTGAAATAAAATTTACACAGTTTGAATATGAAACTGAAATGAGCTGATTACCACCATGTTTGTCGATTGGCGACTCAATAAACTCTGACTGATTGGACGCCTTGATAGCCCAATCGTGCAGTGACCATGAAATATCGGAATTACAAGCCAGTGCCGCGTTAACACCCGTTAACGCTACAATGAACATCAATTTTTCCCAATAACTGATTATTATTTGATTCATTGGAAAAGAGCCTATCTTAATTTGATGTATAGTAATGTACGTTACCGGGGCAACTGGTTATATAGATGAATGCATGTAAATTACAATGCCATGGCAGTGCATGTTTGGAGAGTGGTATTAGAGTAAAGCGATAACAAACTATCGTTGATGATATCAATTTCGAATGCAAATTGGCAAACAACACCTTATTAAAGGCACATCACATGAAACTTTTCATTTCATTCATGACAAATTCACTTGGATTTCATTGCTATAGAAAATTAGTTTCAGTATTTTCTCAGACATTTATTCCACAAATGAATTTTGCAAAAGCTGTTCAATTCATTCTTGGACTGAAATGAAATGAAAAAGGGGAAAGCTGTTGAATCCCGTGTGTTAGCGCAGCGCAGTACAGTATTCGCATAAAATTAGCTTTCTTCAAATATTGCGTTTTTTTAAATTTTGAACAGTAATTTCATAAAATAATATTTAAATTTAGATAATAAGCTTTGAATAGCTGCCATAACGCCTACCAATACTCAACATATTCTAATGTTTATTTATTTTTTTTTAAAGATAAATTTGTGTGCCAGGTACGGGCGTTATCATAACTGACTTTAAATTTCAAATGCAAAAATGTAAGTTATTATTCTTAATTTTTAATCATTTCAATTTTTAAATCTAAATCACTGAAAGGGAAAATTAATTTACTACTTCAAGTCTCCTAGAACAAAATATTTTCTAATATAATACGAAGCACTGTTAAATAACACCTGAATAATGAGGCGGCACATTTGCAGCGTATTCTCATTCACCGAGCACCCTTTCAGTCGCTAGTAATTTCATTTCTTGGGTAAATGAAGCGATTACTGTTTCCCCCTGCTACATTTTCTCTTCCTTTAATCACTGTCAGCGAGGATAGTTTTAAAGCCCATCAAGACGTCGATAAAATGAAAACGAGGGTAAGGTTACAATGGAGTCTAATGAAAAGATGCGACGTGAATACAAATGAGTGGTCTCTATCATGGTAATGTTCAATTTTGGCACTACATTTCACTTTTGTATTATGTATACCCGGTAGTACGCTGGAATTTTTTCGCCAAAGTTGTTCCGTCTAATATAGTATTTTTGACAAATAGTGTTTATGATTGATGCGATCTATTAAACTGTGCGGAGTGATTGAGCATTCTATGAGAGAATATTAAATACATGTAACTGTATTTATCTGTAAAAATGAGAATGGAGAGAAATTTTTGCGAAATGATAGCATGAATGACTGTTTCCTGTACTATATGTTACTATACCACATATCAACACATTGAAAAGAATATATTGGATTTTATTCAAGTAAACATTGGCACTAGAATTTACCCCCAAATGTGACCCAGAGAGGGCACTATTGCAAGGAAAATTGACACAGGCCAATATAATTCAACACTGAAGAATAAACTATTTGAATTACAGGGGTGGAAGGTGGCACCTGGGGAGACATAAACTAATCAAATTATAGGGGGTGTAAGGTGGTGGATTTATATCAATAAATTTACATTAAAATAATAACATACAAGAAATGACAAAATGTATGAAAAAAACAAAAACATGAGGGATATCAAAGCTTGTTTCCATGGAAACAATCACTTTGTAATCTTCTCAAATTTTCCAAAAAAATTTAAACAATTTTGAAATCAACTTCAGGTTCAAAAATACACATTATGTTAATTTTCATCATACCTCATTAGCCAATAGAAATGAAGAAAAACAGACAGAAAATAATGAAATGGTGATGAAACATTTAGTGGAAATCCTGAAATATTATAGCAGTGAAGATTTCCCTGTATTTCATAAATCATGAATTCATGAGACGATTTACTGTGGATGATATAGAAAGATAAACAAGTTTACAGCATTATCTATCAAGACGTACTTTGTCTCCACTTTACCGTAATTATATCTCAGATGAATGGCATCAACTAACGCGATATTTACTAATATTTCTTGTACATGATTAGATTGAGTGGATGACTAAACTCAATCACAAATCAGAGAGGATTTCATTTGTGTATAAGGCAAATTTATAATATGTTTTTTGCCAATAAGACAGGTACGGTAACCAGAGAAGATGCCTCAAAACATTAACTTTTTCGACATCAGAATTTTTCTGTGCCAAAATTTTGTTCCAACATCTTTAAACTATTTTTCCCAGAATTTCTTTTTTAATAATCAACCAAATAATTTTCCATTGCATGGCAGTTTCCATCAAAAGTTGTCCTGGACGTCCAAAAAGTTAAATACAGTGAATAACCAAATTTTCCACTGCTATGAATTCTTACGATATTATGGTGTTCGTGAAAACAAAA